TGCTGGGGTGGCCGGGCTGAGCTGGTCCCCTCTGGTCCCCACAGTGTCCCAGCAAGACCACCAACCAGCCCCGGCGGCAGTATGGCACCACCAAGGACTTCCCCGACGAGGTGCTGCACTTTGCCCGTGCTCACCCCCTCATGTACAAGCCCGTGTACCCCCGGCACCGCCGGCCCCTCCTAGTGAAGACCGACCTGCCCCACCGCCTGCGCCAGCTCGTGGTGGACAGGGTGGAGGCCGAGGACGGGCACCATGATGTCCTCTTCCTGGGGACAGGTGGGCGGCAGGAGTGGCGTGCAGGATGGAGCCCCAGCGCTGGGGAGACTGGTGGGCACCACCGTTGGGGTGCACTACAGCAGGGTGCTCACCCCTCCTCCATCCTCCTCCCTGCAGATGCTGGCTCGGTGCTGAAGGTGGTCGTCCTGCAGAAGACAAGCTCGGCCGCGCCTGAGGAAGTCGTCCTGGAGGAGATGCAGATTTTTAAGGTGCCGTTTGCTGCCCTGCTTGCAAGGGAGGGGGGCAGCGGGGTGGGCTCAGGTTGGGGACACACATGGGGATGGAGGCTCAAGGCTGTCACCGCACTGTGGGGCACTGGGAGGTCTCTGGGCTGTGAGGGCAGAGAGTGGCTGGGGGTGTTTTCACCCTCCCCCAAAACACTCCTGGTGCCCCCCCAAAACCCTGGAGGCTCCGAATGAGGTGGGCTCTCCATGGCAGGGTTTTCACCAGCCTCACGCCCGCTCTCCTCCCCTGCAGGCGCCCGTGCCCATCACCCAGATGGAGATCTCCGTCAAGCGCGTGAGTACGGACATGGCTCGGCCATGGGGCTGGGGACAGGGCAGGTGGCCAGGAGGGACCGAGCTGTTGCCACCAGCCTCTCAAAGCCCGCATGTGTGGGTGTGCGGGGGGGGCTCCCAGCTGGGGACCCTGGGTGCTGTGCCTGTGGGGGGCTGCCAGCATCACTGTCCTGGTGCCGTTCCCCCAGCAAAAGCTCTACGTGGGCTCCAGCCTGGGGGTGGCCCAGGTACGGCTGCACCGGTGTGAGACCTACGGCACGGCTTGTGCCGAGTGCTGCCTGGCCAGGGATCCCTACTGCGCCTGGGACGGCAGCGCCTGTACCCACTACCAGCCCTCTGGCAAACGCCGTCATCGCCGCCAGGACGTCCGCCACGGCAACCCTGTGCACCAGTGTCTGGACCAGAACCTGACCGGTGAGAGACTGGTGGGGAGGCCAACAGGGCTGAGGGGCTCGTCCAGGCGCCCTGAGATATGCCGGCATCCACAGCCCTCGGCACGCAGAGGGGCTTGTGGTCAGCCTGGGTGTGCTGGGGCACCCTTGTCTACCTGTCTCATAGACTGAAGGGTGCCCCAAGAGAAGTTGGGTGCTGCTGGGGCTGGGGCTTGACCCCAGGGAGAGGGGAGGAAACCAGACAGTGGCCCAGGGGGGCTGACACGCGGGCATGGAGAAGCCTGGCTCTGCCCGCCCCATGAGCCTGTGTCTGTTTTCACCCCAGTGGATGATTTTGAGAGCGTTGAGGAGAAGCTGCTTTATGGGGCGGAGAACAACAGCACCTTCCTGGAGTGCGTGCCCCGGTCCCCCCAGGCCAGCGTGCAGTGGTTCATCCAGAGGCCCCCCGACGAGCAGCGGGACGAGGTGAGGCTCCTCTTGCACCCGCCTTGCTCCCATTGCAAGGACATGGGAGGGCTGTGGGGCTGGACCCAGCCCCCCCCGCCCCCCCCCCCCCCCCCCCGCAACCTCACGGTGGCCAACAGGTGAAGACGGACGAGAGGATCCTGCAGACAGAGCACGGGCTGCTCTTCCGTAAACTGCACCGCCACGACGCCGGCGTCTACTACTGCAAAACGCTGGAGCACGGCTTCACCCAGACGGTGGCCAAAACGGCCTTGGAGGTGATCGCCAGTGAGCAGCTGGCACACACCTTCCCCCGGGAGCGGGGGGATGAGCCTCTGCACCCGCCTTGCTCCGAGCCCTGGCTGGTGCCCCAGACTCCCAAAACCTGGTTTAAGGACATCATGCACCTCATCAGCTCCCAAAACCTCCGGCGGGTGGAGGAGTACTGCGCCCGCCTCTGGTGCGGCAGCAGCCGCCCTCACCACCGCAAGAGCAAGCTGGCCCAGGCCAAGCACGCCCTGGCCGGCATGGATGTGGGCAAGAAGGGACGGACGGCCAAACCCCACGGCGAGAGGATCCGCGTGCCCCGGCAAGCGGTGGCCACTTAGAGAGGGCAGGGTAATGGACGTGGGGTGGCCGTGGGCGAGGACCAGCTCCCTGTGCTGCTGGCGGCCCCGGGGCCACTCCTGGCAGGTGGCTTGCAGCGGGGCCAGCTCAGTCCCCCTGGCCACAATAGATGGGACGCCAGGACCAGCTCCTGGGAAGGTCCCCGTCACCCTTGGTGGCTGCAGGGCCACCTCCGAAATGAGCGGCGTGCTGGGATGCCTGGGCCCCCCCTCCTTGCTGTCGCCGGGTCCTGCAGCAGGTGCGGGGCCGCGGTCACTGGGGCGGGTTGGGGCTTGGGACACGCGGTGCCACCGCTGTGCCACCACCCCAGGGAGCTCGCTGGCTGGCTTTCTCTGCAAATAAATAGGCCGAGCGCGGTGCCCCGGGGAGCGGCTGACGGCTCCAGGCTCTTTCCATGCCAGCATGGGGGCTGGGAAAGATGATGCCAGATCTCACACTGGGGCAGGGGGGGAGGAAACTGAGCATCAGCCCAAAAAGCCCTCGTGCCCAGGATTGGCCCTGTCTTCTGCTGTGCCTGGGGGGCTGGGGCACAGGGCTCCTTCCAACCTTCCCAGTAGCACCAGCACACACCCAGCAGTGCCAGCCTGTCTCTGGGTGCAGCTGCCCCCCTCCCCATCCCACCACAGACGTTTTAGGGCTGGGCAGGGATGGGGAGGAAAGCAAATGGCTGCGGGCAGGTCAGACCCGTTCCTGGGTAAACACGGGAGAGGCACTGATGCCACTGCAGTCACTGTGCCCAGGTGGCATTGGGGAAATCCAGGAAAAGGTCGCCCCAGCACAGTTGGGGGGGGGGATGCACCCCACCCTGGGTGTGTTTCTAGTGGTTGGTGGCCCTGTGGGGCTGGGTGGGACAAGGCTGGTTTGGGGAGGGCTTGCTGCTGGCTGGTAGAGCTAAACCAGCACCCAGAGCTTCCCCTAAATGCAGGGGTTGGTGGGGGCAGGTGTGTGGGGAGCACCCACAGGGTGCTGCCACCATCCCAGGCTGCCGGCAAGGTGTTCGCTTGCTTTCGTCGCCCAACATGAGCTCACTCGCCTCACCCGGTCAGCTTGGGGTGATAAAGATCTCCCCCTTCCTGAGGCAGGGCAGCCCCACACAATGGTGTGAACCGCGGCCCTGCCGGGACAGGCATTGTTCAGAGGCAGAGGAACGGGAAAGAAAAATAATAATAATAATAATAATTAAACCCCCTAAATAGCTCGCACAAAGCCAGGTCATGATATCATCGCTCTTCCCGGGGTGTGTGTGTGTGTGTGTGTGTGTGTGTGTGTGTGTGGCGCAGCAGCCGAGCACCACGGCTCGCCACGGTGCCTTTGATAGGAGCGAAGTCCCCTGGCAGCACTGCCCTGTCCCTTGGCGCGCCCCTGGAGATGAGCTGTGGGTCCCGACCCTCTCCTCCAGCTCCCCGTCCCACCTCTCCCGCAAACTCACGGCGCCCGCGTGGGGTGGGAGAGCTGTGGTGGGGCTGGCAGGCCAGGACGTGTCCTGCAAGGCGGGAGGGGAGTGGAGCCAGTAGCACTGATTTACGGGCCAGACTGGAGCCAAGCACGCGGACTTGGTTAATTGTAGGCCTGGGGGGGGGGGGGCACAGAACGATAAGCAAGTAGAGACAAGGAGAGACATGGATGTAAAGCCAGAAATAAGAGACAGAAGTCTGGTTCCTCAGGGCCTGGGTTTAATGGCTCTGGAGTGTTTGCAAGGAGCCAGGCTGCTGAAAGCCCTGTGCCCTCTTGCCTCCGAGTGACCCCTGAGCTCTGCAGGGCAGGGGCTGGGCTGCCCGTCCTGGGGGAGGCAGCGAAAGGGGGTCCCAGGGTCTCTGCTGGGTTCGGGATCTGGCCCGAGGTGAGCTGCGGCAGAGGCTGGAGGTGGCACCGGGGCCGTTTCAAACAGCGGGCACAAAGACCAGAAGAATCCAGTCCCAGAAAGGGCCTCCCCTCCTGGTAAATCTCTGTAAATCCCTGGCCCTCCTGGGTAGATTTCCATCACTAAGGCTGGAGCGCTTTCCTCAGGGGTGCAAGCCAGGTTCTGCACGGCTCACATTCCAGCTTTGTCCCTCCTGATGACCAGCCAACAGTGGCAACCTGCACCCCCAGAAACTTCCAAGGGCTGAATGCAGGCGAACACATCCTCACCCACGCCGGAGGGTGGCAGGAGACGCCACCAGCGGGCACACACAGCGCCGCTGCCCGCCGGTCTCCTCTGCCCGGGGGGAATAAGCCCCACCCGGGCCCGGCGCTGCCGGCCAAGCCGTGCGCCAGGGGCAGGGCCGGGGCGGGGGGACGCAGGGGGCCGGGGCGAGCGTGGGAACGGCCGCAGAACAAAGCCGGGGCGGGGGAGAGCGGCGCAGCCGCGGGCCCAGCGCCTGTTTTTAACCCGCTTCCTAAGGAAGCGCAGCGCGGGGGCGGCCGCTCGCCCCGGGAGCCCGCCGGAATCCTCGGTGGCGCGAGCGGAGCTGCGGGGCCCAGCCTCGCCGGGAGCCCTCACACCTCAACACGGGGTGACAGGCCCGGGCCCGGGGCCCTCACTACCGGGCGGCCCTGCCCGCCGAACCCGAGCGCCTGCCGCCCTCCGCCGCCGGTGGAGGACGCCCCGGGGCGGGGCGGGGCGGGGCGGGGCAGACAGAAGCCCCAACCCCCACGGCCCTCCCCGGCCTCCGCGGAACCTTTGTGGCGCCGCTACCTCCCTCCCCGCCCTCCCGGGACCGATGTGGCGTGGCGCGGCGCGCGCTGACGTCACTCGGCGGCGCGCAGCGATGACGCGCAGGGGCGGGCGACGGCAACGGCGGCGGCGGGGCCTGGAGTCCGGGCCGGACATGGCGGCGCGGCCCGGCCCGCGGGAAGATGAATAAGGGCTGGTTGGAGCTGGAGAGCGACCCCGGTGAGCGGCGGCGGGGCGGGGCGGGGCGGGGGGCGCCGAGCGACGGGCCGGGGGGGCGGCCAGAGCCAGGGCCGGGGCCAGAGCCAGGGCCGGGGCCAGGGGGTTGTGAGGGCAGGGCCGGGGGGGCTGAGGGGGACAGGCCGGAGCGGGGGCGGGATGTGGGGCAGGTGAGCAGGGTTACGGGGTGCAGGAGCGTGGGGGCTGTGGGAGCGCGTGGGGCGGGAACAAAGGCCGGGGAGGGGGCGCCGCTGAGGGGGCCGAGGGGTGCGGGCGGAGCGTTGGGAGGGCAAGCGAGGGTGTGCGTGGGGCGGGAGCAGTGTGGGTCCTGCGGGGAAGGGGGCTGCGTATGTGGGGTGTAGCCCGTGGTGGGGTTAGGGAGAGGTGGTGGAAGTGGAGGGCTGACAGAAAAGGGCATGTCAGGAGGCCGAGCACAGGGGTGTAGGTGTGGGAAGGCAGGGATGGGGTGACCAGGACTGCAGGGGCATTGCGGAGGCTCAGTGTGGCCTGGGCTCTGGTAGCATTCATACACGGGGTCTGAGGTGCCCCAGCCACCTCTGCGTGCACATGATCTGATAACCCCGGGGGTCCCTGTGGAAAACGTCTGAAGCACCGTGAGGGCGTAGCATGAAACATTCCTGTCGTTTGCAAATACACCCTGAAATATCCCTGAAACACAGCGGGAGGTGTGCGTACGGGACGCCCCTTGCTGCAGACACCGCTCTGACTGGTGGTTGCCCCAGAGCTTGGAGGGCAACTGAGGACAACCTGTGTCACTGGGGAGCATGTGAGGGCGTCCTGTGCGTGTCAGATCCTGCCATCGCCTTGCAGCTGAGTGGGTGGATCAAACTCTCTCCCCCAAGTAGCCCAGGAAAGGTGCTGAAGAGCCCGGGATGGTGTCTGAGCAGGATGGTCATGGGCTGTGTTGGAGAAGGTGGTTTCTGTGGTGGAGTCGTGGAGTTTGTTTTGCGGGTTAGGATTTGAGGGCCAAAGCCGGCTCCAGCTGGGGCATTGGCTGAGCGTTGTTTTAACATGTTTGAGTTGTCATAGTGTGATTTGGGGTTGTCCTCTGGGAGGCTGAGAGCTGGTCTTTAGGGTGTGATGGTGTATTTTTGAGTCTGTGGGTGAGGAAATGGGACCCCTTGCAATTTACTCATCATTCTGTGCTCAGTGAACATTTCTGTCTGCTGCTGGTCTCCCGGTCAGCTCAGGTTTTGCTGCTCTTTATTCTCTTTTTACTGGTACTAGGAAATTTCCAAAATCATTCCCATTCTCCCTCTTCTTCATCACGATGATGCTGAAGACAGGACATGATTTGGATTCTCGCACCTGGGAGGGAAGGTTATTTGCTTGGAAGATAATCTGTCTGGGCAGAGGTGGGCTCGTAGCACGCCACAGCTGCGCTCCTTTGGATACACGGAGGTTGGGAGGCAGAGTTGGGAGCAGGGACAGCGGTTAGGGATGACCCTCACGCTGCTCTCGGCCTTCAGCATGTCCCATACGCTGCTCAGCCCTCACCACGGGGCTCGGGACTGAAAGCTCTCGGTGCTTTACTGGTCAGGAAGAGTCGGTAGATCCAGATTTGGGCTGCTGGGTGGAGAGGGGAGCCTTGGGCACCTCCAGGCTGCTGGCCTAGCATTGGCCCGTGCTTATGGACACCAAAATGTTTCCTCCAGCTGACCCAGATAATTTGGGATAGGGATTTCGAGTGGTCACAGCAGCCAGGACCATGCCTCTTGTGGATGCTGGGGTAATATGAAATATTGAAATGAATCGGAGAAAAACTACAGTTGGAAGGAACCCCTGGAAATCTGCCCAAAGCAGAGCTAACTTCAAAGGTAGTTCAGGTTGTTTGTAGCCATGTCTGGTTGAGTTTGAATATGCCCAAGAAGGAGACTTCTGTGCCCTGGTCTGAGCGCTGTCCATGTTGGTAATGAAGAATTGTTTTTTTTTTTTTCTGGGTGCATAGTCAGAATTTCTCTGCTGCAGCTTGTTCCCGTCACTTCTTGTCCTTTCACGGTGCGCTTGGAGAAGTTGGGCTGCATCCTCTCTCTGACTCCCCAGCGATGTTGATCAGACGGGAGAGAAAAACACGCAACAGCTGAGCTCCCATCTCCTTCAGTGCAGCCCTGCTGGTCTGACTCGGGGTCTGGGGAGCTGCTGCGGAGGTGTGGAGGTGCTGCTGAGCCACAGTGAGCTGGGGAGTCCAGCTCAGTCTTCTCCTTCTGGTGGTACCCGTGGGAGCAGCGCTGCTCTCAGCATTTATGTTGTTTGTGTTCACAAGGCCTTGCTCTGAGGCAAATCTTCACTGGCTAAGAGGCAGAGCTTGTGATACGGTTCATGTCTTCTTGCGTCACGTGTGTTTTGCCATGATCAGTAGACTGTAACTGTTGAAACTGGAGAGTGAGTGAGGCTCTTAGCTTTTAAACAGCTGCGATACCACTTCGGTAAGGGATGCCATCTGAAGAGGGAACTGGAACCGTGGCTGTAACCAGCACCTGAAGACCCTCATGGTCTGCAGGGACCGCTTGCCCTAAGGGCATTGCTGCAGGGAAGGCAGCGGGGCTGTGGCACTGCCTGAAGTCTCTGTAGATGTCACCTGTACAACACAGCCCTCCACGGCATTAAGAATTTTGAGCAAAAACATCTCTGTCAGAAAGGTGCTGGGGTTTGGTGTAACGGTGTCACGTGGCAAAGAGGCTGTCGCTGGGTTGAAGCATGTTATTTCCACAGTGTGTTTCTTCCCACTGACAGTTGTGTAAGAAGTGCGATGTTTCCTGCTAAATTAATGAGGCTTTTTTACTTCCAGAAGTTTCTTCCCTGTTTTAGTTATTTTAACTTTGGTGTGGAAGCCGCTTGGGCTCTTCCCTTCTTGATTTAGCCATTTATATCAGGTTCCTTAAATCTGTTCCTTACAGGGATGTTTCTGAGGATTGAATCCTTCTTACTGATATTCCCTGGACTTCCTCCCAGGCTCTCAGCAGCCTTTATATGGGAGCAAAGGAAGCAGATTTATTATTCCAGTCTCGAGCTCACTAACTCCCCATGAAGGGGGGATCCCCTGAAAACTGGGCCGACTGCCTTTGCAGCAGCATCGTAGTGGAAGCTGCTGCTCAGTTGCTGATGTCTACTAATCCTTCGGTCTCTTTGCCGTTGTCTCGGTGTCCCTGGTTATGTCCTGTAATGGGAATTTTGTAGTCACTGGAGACAGGCTCTTGGATTTGCTCCCCCAGGAGAGAGGGAGATGAAGACAAGCCTTTCAGCCCTCAGACTTCCCCGCAGCTCGGTTACTGTGAGCTGGCTTTCCCTTCTCTGACTGTCTTTCTCTAAGGAGAACATAAATTATCTTCTTTTAAAATATCCTGTGACCTATTCAGCCGTGTTTCCCTCCAGTTAGAAGCGTGCGTGTCGTTTCAGTGTTCCCTGCTACTGTTCACGGTGGGGATTTACTTCTTGACAGGTCAACTGCAGTGGGTCAGGATGCTGAAGGTGGGTCCAGCTTCATCTGGTTCCAACAGGAGAGGGTTGATTCAGGTCCTCTTGAGGAAGAGAATGATGAAAGGGGCTGAAGGGAGCCAGAGCACCTCTGTAGCAAGGCAGGGCTCAACAGCTCTGCTGCTGGGGAGTCAGTGTGATGCCGGTGCCGTTCTGCTGTGTTTTTTCTGGCTACGCCTTGGCCTGAGACCACGTGTGACCATCAAGGGCTGGCGACAGCAGGTTTCCTCTCTGTTCTCATCAGCCAGAAGTTACCTGTTGTTTTTTTTTTTTTTTTTTTTCCTTTCCAGGTCTCTTCACACTCCTGGTCGAAGATTTTGGTGAGTGCAAGAAACCTTCCTGGGAAGTGGGTTTTGTGCTTGACGTTACCCCTAGTCCTTTCTGGTGGGCTTTACACAGGCTTTTGCCCTTTGTTTGCAGGGGTCAAGGGAGTGCAGGTTGAAGAGATCTATGACCTGCAGAGCAAATGCCAAGGGTAAGTCATAGGTGTGAGAGTATGAGTTTTCTTAAGCAGAATGTGTCTGTGGGCCTGGGAACTCATTGCCAGGTGTGAGAAGGACCTGTGTGAGCTCCTTGGTCATGGAGGTCAGCGTTGTAAGTGATGAACCCGGAGTGCTTCATCAAGTTTGGGGCAGATGGGCAATCTTGTGTCTTGAGAAAGATTTCGTGGGGCAGGTGGGGGACATGCTTCAAGGGATTCATCTCCCTTTCCCCATGGAGAGGTGCCGTGCCTACCAGCGTGCGTGCAGTGTGGGCTTTCTCCCTGTCTCAGTGCTTTGAAATGGCTTTGAGGCTGTCACATTCTGAAAAGCCATTGCCTGAACTCCTCTTGAAAATGAATACAACATATATTTATTTAAAAGGAGGAGTCATTTGGTGGTCAGGCACTATTCTGTAGGTTGATCAGTGTCCAGAGGTGAATTTCACGTCCTGTTTCTCCATCCTGAGCTGCTTAAGACCTGTCAAACCCCAAAGTTTTCAAGCTTGATTGTTGTCTGAGCATGGAGCATCAGTGCAGGAGAGTGTGCTGGGTGATGTGGGGCTGGGGGCACTTCGGGCAGAGATGCTCACTTCCAGAAAGATGGGGCTGGTGGTTCTGTTTTTCTTCTCTGTCTTTGCTCTGCACAGAGAGGTTTCTGGTGCTGGGCAGAGCAGCCCCACTGGTGTGGTCCGTCCAAAACAATGTAGCTGCTGACTTCTCTCCGCAGCCCTGTGTATGGGTTCATCTTCCTCTTCAAGTGGATTGAGGAGCGCAGATCACGCCGGAAGGTCTCTACCCTGGTGGATGAGACATCAGTGATCGACGATGACATCGTTAATAACATGTTCTTTGCTCACCAGGTAGGCTGGAGGTGAGGGGAATGTAGCGGGGGGGTGTCCCGTGTGGCACCTCAGGGAAGCAATGTGGTGCTGAGAGACTGCACGGCTCCTGCTGGTTCTGAGGGCAGCTCCTCTTTCCTGGGAGTCTCTGCCCTGAGCTCCAGGTTGGAGGGAATGCAGTGAGGGCTGCGAGCCTGCCTGTGGCCTGCACTGTGAGCAGATGCTCGTGGGGGGCATGGTGTGGCTGGCTGAACAAGGCTGACCTCCTGCCTTCCTTGGAGAGCTGAGGTCAAGTCGCTGCTCCCACAAGTGGTTCTTGCATCAGTACTTTTCAACTGATTATTGTCGACGCTGAGGGGTTGTTGAAGGGTTGCCTTGTTCCTGCTGGTTAAGATGGTCCTTGTGTCACCCGCCAGCTGATCCCCAATTCCTGTGCCACCCATGCCCTGCTGAGCGTCCTCCTGAACTGCAACAATGTCGACCTGGGCCCCACGCTGAGCCGCATGAAGGATTTCACCAAAGGATTTAGCCCTGAGGTAGGGGCAGGGGTGTGCAGGGCTGTGCGTGTGTGAATCTGCCTCTTGCTCCCCTCTCAGGATGATGCTCTAACGAGCTGGCTCCTTTCATCCCTTCGTGGCCGCACGCTACATCAGCACTGCCTCTTCTCTCATCTTCCTGCCTTGCCTTGCTCAGGGCCACGGTCCCCTTACGCTGGGCACAGCTTGGAGCCTTCTGTCGTTTATTTCCTAGCCCAGATGCATTCTCTAAAACTGTTATCAAAAGTCCTCTCTTCTCCCTTCAGACGTATCTTGAAGTCTGTGTTTTCCTCTTAACTGTGATTTCTTTAGCCAAAACCGTGTGTTCTTTTCATCTTGCGTTTGAGTAACTCAGCAGAGCAGAGACTGTGCCTGAAAGCTGCTCTCTGTCCTGTGTGTGGGTGGAGGGAGGGAGTGGGGAGCAGGGGGGTGAAGCATTTTGTTTGTTTCCTGTCACGTCTCAGCTATTTTCCTCTCTCGCTGTTCGCTGCAGAGTAAAGGCTATGCCATCGGCAATGCCCCAGAGCTGGCCAAGGCCCACAACAGCCATGCCAGGTGAGTGAGGGGGTCTCTCACAGCTCCCTTTCGCTGGAGGAGGCAGGTTCTCCACTGACCTCTCGCCTCTCTTGCCCTCGCAGGCCGGAGCCACGGCACTTGCCAGAAAAGCAGAACGGTATCAGCGCTGTGCGAACCATGGAGGCTTTTCATTTTGTCAGTTATGTCCCCATCAAGGGACGGCTGTTCGAGCTGGACGGGCTCAAGGTCTATCCCATTGACCACGGTAAGAGCCCGCCTGTCCCTGCTTGTTGATGCAGTTGAATAGACACCCTGGCATGTCCCAGTGTACGCGTTATTTTTCATGGCCATGAAGCATTAGCTAATGGAGAATCATTCCAATGGCTCCTAGGTTTGTCCCGAGTTTTGATAGCTCATTTTCGAGCTATGTACTGGGGACTGTGTCTAGAATGCAATTTGGCAATTTTTTCTAAATGCATTGCATTGCCTTTTCCAGCCTTGCCATTTTACTCCCCAGTTGCTCAGGGTCTTGAGGTCCTTCTGCAGCTCTGAAATAACTCAGCATCATGAGCAGAATTTGTCTCCTCCTTACCCTCTCCTTGAGCCAAGTAACTGCTATGTGTTGAGGCACAAGGTTCCAACAGAGATCCTAGCAGGCTGCTCAGGTTATTCCCTTCTCTTACAACATGATGACTAGCTCTGTCTTTTAGACACTTATTTATCCTCACTAGGACTCTGTCAGGCCCTTTGGTAAGGGACTCACTTCATGTGCTTGGGTTTCTTACGAATGGCACCACATCCAGTGGCAGGTGGATCCCAGCAAAACCTGGGATTTCCTTGGAATTTGTGAGCCCGGAGCCTGTGAATCACTTGTGGTCTGCAGGGTTCAAAACTCACCTTTCTGCCCTGCAGACAACTCATGTTTTCTGTTGGGAAGGCAGAGGCAGGGGCGTCCATGTGTGGGCTGACCACCTTCAGCCTCTTGGGCTTCTTCTTTTCTTGCTCCCTGATATGTAAGGGAGCTGTGAGATTGCTTTTCATGGGGATGGCAGCAGCTGCTCTGAGAGTCTAAGCAGGACCCTTGGCTGGCTTTGCTGATTCTGGCTCTGTTGCGTTATCACAGGGCCGTGGGCTGACGATGAGGAATGGACAGACAAAGCCAGGAGAGTCATCATGGAGCGCATCGGCCTGGCCACTGCAGGGTAACATCCTGGGCCGTGGTGCAGGCACTGGCCCCTCACCATTTTCCCCTGGATTATTTCTACTGTGTTCTCTGTGCGACAAGCTGTGGAAGTGGGGGTGGAGAACGTTGCTTGGGGAGAGGTGTGGGTGCACTGCCTCCTTGCCTTCTCTTGCCTGCAATTTGCCTGCCTTTAGAGCACGCAGAGAAGCTGCACTCCGTGCGATGCAGAGTCCCTGCAAGTGGCTGCACAGGATAAGAGTGGCCAGATTAGGTCCCTGTTAGCTCAAGTCCTAACTTAGTAGGAGAAGGAATGGTGCTTCTGGTCCGGAGCTGGGCCTCTTGGATGCTTGGGCATGAGGGTGACCAGGCGCTGGCACAGGTTGCCCAGGGAGGTTGTGGAGTCTCCATCCTTGGAGATACTCAAAAGCCACCTGGGCGTGGTCTTGGAAAATCATGTCTGGGTGACCCTGCTGGAGCAGGGGGTTGGAGCAGATGACCTCCATGGGTCCCTTCCCACCTCAGCTAACCTGTGATTCTGAGAAGGGTGTGTTGGGTTGTGTCCGAAGCAGCTTTGCTCTGCTTCTTTAGCCAGTGTGAGCTTGACTTGGTTTGGGGGGAAGAGCCTCCTGCGTGTTGGTGTTAAACGCCCAGGCAGGGGAGGTGCTGCCTGGAAGGAGCCCGCAGGAGGTGTGCGGGGCAGGGCTGGCAGCCTGCTGAGCCCCTTCGCCGGGAGACGGGCTTGCCACCCCCAGCTCGTGGCTGATGTCTGCTGTCCCCTCCTGCAGGGAGCCGTACCACGACATCCGCTTCAACCTGATGGCAGTGGTGCCCGATCGGAGGATGAAGTACGAGTCCAAGCTGCACATCCTGAAGATGAACCGCCAGACTGTGCTGGAGGCCTTGCAGCAGGTAGGACAGCCCAAGCCCTGGGAGAATGCAAGCCCTGGGTGGAAACAGGTTATGCTTTCAGGGCATCTCCCTGTGCTATGGGGGCCCTGGATTTTGGGGAGTTTTTTGGCCTTGGGAAATGTCTTTTGGGGAGAGGAGATAACCAGCCTTGCTGCTTTGCCTTTTGCTGCTCCCCTGGGGGTTATCCGTGGCATTGTCAGCTGATGGTGCACGTGGGCGCTCAGCTCGCCCTCACAAGTTCTTCTGCAGTGCTCGAATGGGAGGGATGTGGTTGGGGTCGCCCTGGTCCAGCTCTCGGTTTCTGTCTGTCATTTGCCTTCAAGCTTATCCGAGTAACTCAGCCCGAGCTGATCCAGACCCAGAAGTCTCAGGAGTCTCAGCCTCCCGAAGAGGCAAAGCCAGCCAGCAGCAAGACCGCGACTCCAGAGAGCACCCATCCAGGTAAACCCCCGTACCAGTGGTGTTGCCAGCCTGGCCCGCTGTGGAGCGAGCACAGGCTGGTGACAACGACTGGCTGACCTGGAGCTTGAGGCAGTTTTATGGGCAGCTTCACTTTTTTTTTCCTCCCAGCCCAGCTCCGTGCACGCCGTGCTGGGGTGTGGTAGATGCCTCTGTGCCTTGGAGGAGCGTTGGAGGGGTGTGGGGCTTGAAAATGGGAGGGCTTAAGCTTGGGGACAGTGGTGACAGCTGGAGGTGGAATGGGAAATGGGTGCGGTGGTCTGTTGGAGTGTGAGAGCTCTTCTCTTACGTGGGGTGGGCAAGGGGGTGCCAGAGGACATTGAGTAAAAGGTGACGGTGCTGCTCAGGAAAGGCTGTGCTGTGCTTGTGTGGCAGACAGCACCGAGGAGCCGGCCAGCCAGGGCCACGCTGCGGCCACGCAGAGCCCACCCAGCAAATCCAAACCGGTGGCAAAGACGTCAGCGAGCGGTATCAATGGGGGGCCTCCAGCAAACCCCAACCCCATCGTGCAGAGGTTGCCAGCCTTCCTGGACAATCACAACTACGCCAAGTCCCCCATGCAGGTAGGCTGGAGCTCCAGGCCAGCAGCGTGCCTGACTCGAGCTGAGCTTTTTTGCTTCCAGTCCCTCACCCCCACGGGACTGCGGCTGTCAGCCGGTCTCAGTCCTTCCCCTGCCTCGCAGCCTGCCTGCCCTCACACTGACCCAGGCTGGAAGGCGAGAGGGTAAATAAAGACTGACAGCCTTGATGTGGGTCAACTGCACGGGCATAGGGAAGAGTCCCCAGTCCCCTCTCGAAAGGGGCAAGCCCCGGTGCTCAGCCGGATCGAGGAGGTGCCCGCCAGGCTCTTCCTCCTCGCCCCGCTGCTGGCTGGCCATCATCAGCAACGGTGTTTGGCAGGAGGAGGAAGACCTTGCGGCGGGAGTGGGTCGCAGCCGGGTCCCGGTCCGACAGCACCAGCAGTACTCGGATGATGAGGATGACTACGATGACGATGAGGAGGAGGAAGTTCGTAACACCAACTCTGCCATCAGGTGACAGCTTGAGCCGAGGGCGGGGGGGCAGGGAGCTGATGTTTGCAGAACCGCCAGTGGTGGCTCCCAGACCTCTTTTCTGAGCGCCGTCGGAGCCTGCATCTGTGTGTGCAATTAGGGCTGCTCTCCACCTGCTAATTTGCTGCTCACTCGCTGGGTTTTGTAAAGCTCTTCCGTAGCGCTTCACAATCAGCCCTGAATTTTGCCTGCCCTGAAAATAACTGTGTGTTGGCACGAGGCTTTGGGGAACGAGCGTTCCACAGTGCTGATTGCCAGATCAGCTCTTGGTGACACTCTTGGTGTGCTGGGACTGCTGTGAAGGTCAGGAAGGTGGGGTCACAGCGAGGCTGCTTTTGAGGCTTCTGGAAGAAGAGCAGGGGTACACAGCACCCTGTGCCCCCCAGCTGCGTAGGGGTACCCGCAGCGGAGCCGCTCAGTGGGGTGGGATGCTGCCAGAGAAGCTGGTGGTGGTGCGAGTGACCTAGGAACATATCAGGCCTTGCTTCATCCCAGCAGACAGCCTGGAGTGCTGGGTGCGGAGCCTCTTTCCACCAGCTACTCACCTTCCCACCGTGTTCCTGGGCAGGTACAAAAGGAAGGGGCAGGTGAAGCAAGAGCACGTGGCGGGGGCTGCGGACGGCCAGCTCTCCGTCCTCCAGCCCAACACCATCAACGTCCTGGCAGAGAAGCTGAAGGAATCTCAAAAGGATCTTTCCATTCCCCTGTCCATCAAGACGAGCGGCGGGGGCGCCGCCGTGGCGGTGGTCACCCACTCCCAGCCCTCTCCCACCCCCAGCAACGAGAGCACCGACACCGCCTCCGAGATCGGCAGCGCCTTCAACTCCCCGCTGCGCTCTCCCATCCGCTCGGCCAACCCCACCCGCCCCTCCAGCCCCGTCACCTCCCACATCTCCAAGGTGCTCTTCGGCGAGGAGGACGGCCTGCTGCGCGTCGACTGCATGCGCTACAACCGCGCCGTCAGGGACCTGGGGCCCGTTATCAGCACCGGCCTGCTGCACCTCACCGAGGACGGCGTGTTCTGCTCGCTGGCTGTTGCAGGTAGGTGCCTGCCAGCTTTTGGGTGGGGTGTGTGCGTGTGTGTGTGTGTGTGTGTGACATCTCCCCTGCCGTGGTGGGACAGTGCCCTTTGACTTTGGGAGCGGATACCGGTCCTTTGCAATGGCTCCTAACGCTTCCTCCCCACCCCGTGTGCAGATGGGGGGAAAAGCTCCCCCCCTTCCATCAAACCCGGTGAAGAGGCCCCGGTCGCAATCAAACTGGACGAGAAGGAGGGCAGTGAGGCCAGTGACAGCAAAGAGAAGGTGGGACTTGGCAGGACCAGTGATCACCCTGGGGGGGAAAAGTATTCTCCCAAGGTGAGTTTTGTGCTGCGACAGCCCTGGGAACGCGGAGCTCCCAGAGACGCAGCAGCGCCGGCAGCGACCGAACCGCATGTGCGCGCTGTCCCGCTCGCGCGTCGCCGCAGCCGTGCCTCGGGGCGCAGGGCAGTGCAGGTCTTGTGCCTTGCGTCATCTCGGGGACGTTTGCCTTGGCGGGGGGCAGAGCCGCTGCCTCCCGCAGGGGAGGGGTTCGGCGTGCTGGGCTCTCTTTTGGGCCAGAGGCTGGGGGGGCCCTGCACCCCCAAATCCCAGCCTGCTGGTAACTTTACTGTCGGTCTGTGCCCTCCAGCCAGAGACGGGACCAGGCTTGGGCAGCACAAGCGCATCAAGGGCCCTCTGGAGGAGAGGTTGCTGAAAACTGTTCTAATCAAAAGGGAAGTCTTTAGATTTGGTTACTGAGAAGCACCGGGCACTGGAGTGTTTCTCAGGCGTGCATGCAACGCTTCCCCCTGTCCCAGAGAACCAGGTCTGTGTGCCTGGGCCAGGCTTGGGCAGAACCCAGCTACCCTGGGGCTGGCCGTAGTGCTGGCTGACTGATCACCCTCTCACTTGGAAATTCCCTACAATGAACTCTTTTTCTTTCCTCGCCACCTCCCCCCGGCAAGTGTTTTTTGCTTTGATGAATCCTCCCTTTCCCAGTGTGAAGAGGAACACCCAGCAGCTCACCCCTCTGGCTCCTGGGCTGCAGCAGGGTCTCTCTGCTCACGGTTGCTTTCTCCTGGCAGGAGCTGCTGGCACTGCTGAAGTGTGTGGAGGCAGAGATTGCAAACTACGAGGCCTGCCTGAAGGAAGAGGTGGAGAAGAGGAAGAAATTCAAGGTGTGTTTGTCGATGGCTTGTTGGCGTTGCCTATTTAGCGCCCTGAAGGCTTCTGTCTGGGGTGTCTTTACATCAGAGTGGAGGGAGAGCTGGCTCAGCTGTGACCGGGGGGGGAGCATTCGGGGTCCCTTCCCCACCGCCGGGCAGCCCTGGGGGGCAGAGCTCCCCCAGGACCCAGCGAAGCCCCTGGGCAGCGCTGGCTGGCGGGGGGTGGGATGGCAGAGCGCTGCGGTGCGCCGCTGCTGAACAGCAGCACGGGCAGGAGGAAGCGGGGAGTCTCTGCCCCAAGGCCTGGCAGGATTCCTCCCCTGCCCCCCCTTCGCCTCTTCCCAGCGGCCCTTCGTGGAAAATGCCGGCATCTGAACTGGGATGGGGACAGGGACAGGCCCGGTTGTGCGCTGGCTTGAGCTGGGCTGGGAGGTGGGTTCCTGCTCCGCTCTCCTCGGTCTGTGGGCCGGGCCAGGCGTGCTGGTTCTTTGCCCCTTGTTACCCTTGAGCTCTCCTTTTTCCCTTGCCACCCGTTTGTGAATTATTTATGGATTTGTCATCTCTTTGTAGATCGATGACCAGAGAAGGACCCACAACTACGACGAGTTCATCTGTACCTTCATCTCCATGCTGGCCCAGGAAGGTGAGCTGTGCTGTGTGGCCGTGGGGTTTGGATTCAGCCGGCAGGGGGGACCAGGCCAAGCGTGGCAGAGCAGCAGCCGGGAGCCTGGGGAGCTCACCCTGCCCTGCTCCCTGCGAGGGGACGCAGCGCTCGGTCAGAGGAGCCCACTGTGTCCTCACAGTCCCCCGAGGAGCCCACCAGCTGGGTTTTGGGCAAGAGAGGGAGGGCTGCGCCCTGGCGTGGGCAGTACCAGCCCTCTGGCTCTCCCTGCAGGCATGCTGGCGAGCCTGGTGGAGCAGAACATCTCGGTCCGCAGGCGGCAGGGAGTCAGCATCGGCCGCCTGCACAAGCAGAGGAAGCCGGACCGCCGGAAACGCTCCCGCCCGTACAAAGCCAAGCGGCAGTAGCCTGGCAGTCGGGACTGCGAGAAGAAGCACTTGGGCTTTGCGGCTTTGGGATCTACGTTACCCTTTGCCCAAGGAAGAGGGACCACAGCCCTGGGCTGAGGTGGAGCCTGGGGACAAAGAGAAATGGGGTTTTCCCCTGAGCCCGAGTTGTGAAGGGCGGGAGGCCCGGCAGCTGCCGCCGAAGGCAGGTGCGAGCGCCCAGCTGCCTGAGCGTGCCCCGGCGGGGGCCGGGGGCCGTGTCTCGGCGCCGTGGCTGAGGACAGTGGCAGGAGGGGAAGAGCCCACCTGGCCCGGGGCGGGTCTGGCGTTGGGGGAATGCCGGAGCTGCCCACGCGAGGCTGTGCTGGCCGCAGCTGGCTGGGGCTTGTGTCCTCCTGCGTCCAGGCCTTCAGCTCTATGATTCCCCAGGACATTCGTGTCTGTGTTTTGCTATCCCTCTCCCTCCCTTTCCCGACTGTATTTTTGGTTCTGCCCCATGCTTTGGCTGTTGCCGAGTGAGGCGGCTCCTGGACAGAGCCCCATCTCCTGCACCCCCTGTTCCCAGAGCTGGCTGAGGCAGGGCCAGACGGGTCCTGCCTTCCCCTGCCCTCACCGCTCCGGGGGTGGCAGCACCCTGTGCCAGCACAGCTGGGCTCCCCGGGGGCCTCGGGTGAGGGCGGGTGGGCTGGGCCCTGTGGGGCTGCTGGGGGCTAGCATGTAGCTCTGCCTCCGTGGCTGCTCTCCTAGGGACCAGGTCTGTGGCCCTGGCAGTGCCCACGGGTCATTCCCCAGAGAAACGCCGTGAATTGTGAACTGTGAGAAGGTTCAGAGGGCGGCCTCGGCGCTGCTGGGCACGGCGCCGGGGTGGAGGCTGGATGTGGAGGGGCTTGGCTGCAGCCTTTGGGCGTGGGGAGAGGCGAGCGGTTGCTGTAACGCTCACGGTGGGACAGGGACTGCCGGAGGGAGCCCAGAGCCGCTCCTCCTGCCCGAGCCGCCCACCCGCTGCGAGCCCCGAGCTTGCTGGGGCGGGCAGCCCCCCCTCTCCTATCTCAGCCCTGGGCCTGGCCTGCCTCTTGCCCGCCGCCTGCCCGTGCTCCTGCACGCGGTGCCCGGCCTGTCCCCAGCAGCCCGGCCGAAATCTCAGGAGCCAGCGGTCAGCACCTCTCCCCAGAGGGGTCCCGAGGCGTAGCTGGGCCAAGCGGAGCTGCCGCAGGAGAGGACTGAATTTCATGAATTTCACAAATGTGCAGATTTGTACAGATCTTGACTATGGAATGAAACTGTTCTTTTGGTATTTTGTTGAAGGGAAGAAAATCCTTCTGTCTCTTGCTGTGTCTGATACCAAGTTCTGTAAATAATGGATCTGTCTGAAGGAATAAAGCTATCTTGTACCAGCCAGCCAAGGGAGAGGGGTGCGTGTGATGCTGGGAGGACTGAGTGCCTGCTCTGGGCCACACTGCCTGCTGGCAGCTCTTCGGTGGTGCTAAAAACTGCAGGTGATTGTGGGGAGTGTAGTAACAGCGGGTGAAGGTGATGCTGGTGGAGCTGAGCTCAATTTATTGAAGCAGCTCCAAGGGTGGGAGGAGAGGGGGAGCGGCTGCTGGCAGTCAGCGCTGGGCTCCTGTTGCAGCTGGGCCGGCGTCCTGGGCTGGGTGGCATTTCTGGCTAGAAGTCCAGGGCGCAGATCAAGGCTGTGCCCCGTTTGATCCAGTGCTTCTGCGGCTTGTCCGTCGGGATCTCCACAGCGATCACGTAGTTGGTGGAGTGGCCCGTTGTCGACAGCGTGCCTGTAACGGGGGAAGCGAGGGCGAGAGGGCGGCTGCTGCGTGCCGACCGGGCAGTCCCGTACAGGTGACCCCCGGCGCCATCCCCCGTCCCGTCCCTGTGCTAGCTGAGAGGCTGAGCAGCGCTGGGGGAAATGGGCTTGTGTAGTTTGGGGGGTGGGTTTGAGAGAGGCACTGCTTCCTAGCCAGGGTGCTGGGCTGCTCTGTCGCCACAGCAGGATAAATCTTTTTCTGCCTGGACGTGTGGCAGGAGGAACTCCTGCAGCCTCTCCTGGGCTGCCCTTCCTAGCTGCTTCTACAGTCTCCCCTGCTCCTGGAGAGCTGCTTTTAGGGCACGTACCTGCACGAGTGAGGGTCTTGTAGATTGGGCACAGGTAGATGCCGGTGGCTGGAGGCTTGCGGTTGGGCACAGGGAGCAGCCAGATGACGGCCATCTCTGTGTAAAGCTCCTTGGGGCGCGACTCCGCCAGCTGAAAGGCGGCGGGGTCCCAGCGGGCGCCCTCGAGAAACAAGCCGTGGATGTAGCAGCCTTCGTCGGGAGGGCGAGTGAGCTCGCCCACAGACTCCTCCATTACCTGCAGAGGAGAACGGGCCCAGGGCCCTCGATCAAGGCGTGTCCCCGGAGGCTCAGCCCCAAGGACCCCCTTGAGCTGCTCTTAGTTTAAGTCAGGGCAGGTCAGGGCTAGAACTGCTGCCTTTGTGGCCTTCTAGCCGCAGATTCCAGAAAAATCACGAAGAAGTCCAGAAAAATCCAGAGCTTCTGGCAGCTTTACTCACCTTGAAACTAAAGGAGATGGTGTCGATAGAGATGACGGACTTCCTGGCGAAGTTCTGCAGCGTCCCAGTGAGGAAGGCCTGGGGGAAGAAGAACCCGCTGATCCAGAACACGGAGGGGATCCCGTGGGTGATCCACTTCTGCAGGAATTCAGTCCGCTGCACCAAGTCATTCAGCCAGGATGCCAAGGGCTTCAGCGAGGGGTAGGCCTGCGGGACACCCCCAGAGGAAGGTGCTGAACACAGTCGAGGACACCCCAGACCTTGTGCCCCAGTTGCTGGCAGCTGCCCAGAGCCCAGGAATTCATCCAGCCAGGGGCTGGGAACGACTGCGAGCTGCACGAGGCAGGAGATGCCTCCATGCCAGGGGGGACAGCCTGCTCCAGCTGGGGGGGCTGATGCCCCAGTTCCCCGGTTCGGGTGAGCTCCTGCGGGGAGCGGGGCTGGCTGGGGCACGTACCTTGGCATTCCACATCTCGGGGACAGTGTTGTTGTACAGGCTGCTGGCCATCAGCTCCAGCTGAGAAGACATCACGACCAGGCCCTTGAGAGCTTTCAGCAAATCCTTCAGTGTCTGAGCAATCACGTCCAGGAGCCTGTTGTACCTACAGAGAAAGAGCCGAGGGAGCGGAGCAACTCAGTGCAGGGGTTTATTGCCCGTCTGCCCAGAGAGGGTCTGGATCTCTGTGCAATGACTGAAGCTCCTCCACGCAACTCCCAGCCCTGCTCTTCTTTAATGGGGTCTCACAGCTGCCCCCCCCCCAGCCCTGAAGGCCTGACCGGAGTGGACAGAGATACTGACCAGTCCCCCTCCCCCCGGGCAGGGATCAGCTGAAGGTCCTGGCTGGGACGACACAGTTGTTCGCGTGGCTGCCCACCCCGTGGCCATGCTCAGCAGCGAGGTGCCTCAAAGGTGGGTGGGAGCAGGGGTCTGCACATCTCTGCTGCTCCCCAAGGGACCAGCTGGTCGCTGGCCCGGGACGTGATCCCACAGGGATTTTACCTGATCACCTCCTGTACCAGCACCGTGTTCATGGACTCTTCGTAGAGCAGCGGGTACTTGTGGATCACCTCCTCCAGGTTCATGGGGGAAGGCAGCTTTGCCAGGATGTCCCTGGAGGTCTCCTCCACGAGCTGGAAGGAAGGTAGCGAGGGGGTGAGCGTCCCCCTGGGCACGGCTGCCGAGAAGGGGGAGAAGTGCCCCCGGGATGGCAGTGCCACTGCTGGCACCCCGCAGGCAGGGTGGCGCCTGCTGAGAGCCCCCGGCACTGGCTGCCAGAGCGCTGCCGGGCTCGGGGCACCCACCTCTTCCCTGCTGCGGCCTCCCAGCGTGAAGGTCTTGGGTTGCAGCTGCAGAATGGCCCCCAGCAGAGCCGAGGTCTCGTTCTGAGCGAAGGTGATGTCGGCATTGTCGTGTAAACCAAAGAGCTCTGGGCTATCGTTGAGCGGCAGGCTCCTGATGTACTGGAGGTAGCCCTGCAGAGGAACCCGCACAGGCTGTGAGGCCAAGAGCACGGGGATGAAGCTGGGGTGCTGCTACAGGCCTGGCCTGAAAGAGATCGCTAAGCCGGGGTTGCTGGATAAGCTAAACCCAGCAGATCAGAGATTTGGCTGGGAGATATTCTTTGTATCGTTGTTCGAGATTCATTCATCTGCCTTTTACACAGCTCTTTGTCCTGTCACAGCCAGGAAACGCAGCTCGCTGCTTTGACTTAGGGACAGCTTACGTGTGCCCACAGCAACGCTTGCTGGCCCAGGCCGCGGGCTGCAGGGGAGGCTGATGGGCTGGCAGCCCCTCTGAGCCAGGCTGGGCAGCTGAGGGGAGGCCACGGCCATGGTTTGTGGTCTGGCTGGGGAGTTAAACTGCACTTGTGTAGAAGCGAACACGTGCTAGGAGAATGGGCAGCTTGGCAGTGAGTGTCTCCTGCAGAGCTCCTCGGGTACTTTAGGTACGCGATACCAAAATGATTCAGCGTACAAAAGCTTTCAGCTGGGGAACTCTGCTGATAGCTGCCACCACCTCCTGTGCAGAGGGACAAGATTTTCCTCCTGTTGCTTGAAACAGATGCAGCTTCCCGAAAGCAGCTGAAGATCCCCAGGTGCTTATAAACTGATATTCCCCCAGGGAACTGGAAATGCAGTGGGGTTCAGGGAGGACTAGATTCCCTTTGCACTGTGACAATCTCCCTGGATCTGTGAGCTGCAATTTGTTACTTGAGCACTTACTTCGAGGTCAGACGAGGTACTGATCTGCTTGTAGATCCCCGATTCGGAGTAGGCAAACTCAGGAATTAAAACCTCAGGCTTGTAGAAATCTTCCAAAGTACTCATGATGCAGCGCCTGTCCCAGGCGTCGGTCACGCGGCCGCCATAGTTGATCTCCCCAGCCGTGTACTTCAGCACCTGTGGGGGACCCCGCCGCCGCTTGCTGACCCGCACACGCACCACGAGCCTGCTCCCTCCAGGGTGGGGGCAGCTCACGCACTCACCTTGTACGGGACGTCTGTGTATTCGTTCAAGAACATCTGTAGCTGACTGATGCAGATGCGGAGGTCTCCATCCGTGAACTCATAGGGGATGTTGAACCCCAGAGGCCCAAACTTTCTCCTCTCCAGCATGTTCCCATGGAAGAAGCAAAGTGACAGCAACAAGGATTTAAACTCTGTGACCTGCGGGCAGGGGAGCAGGGAGAAGAGGTGCTCAGCTTGGGAAGAGGTATCCTTGGATGGGGTCGGTTCCTGCTGGGACCTGGCAGAGGAGATGTGCCAATCTGGCAGTGCCACGTGGGGCCTGGAGGGGTGGAAACCTCAGCCAGGCTGCTGTGCTGGGGAAGGCTGTGGCCCACTCCCTTGCTTAAAGAGGGCTGCAAGCCTCTTATGCCACACCTCCGCAGTCCTGTTGCTTCTTTTTCTCAAAGTGAAATTTCTAATTGGCTCACCACAGTGTAGATGTGGGCTTAGGAGAAATACCACCAGCCCTTCTCTAGCACGTGAGAGCTCTAATGCAGAGGAAGGTCTGTGCCTGGAGAGGAGCAAGATCCAGGTGGAGCACATATGTTGCAGCAGGCGCGGGCTGGGGACAGCAAACCGAAGCACGATCTGGGCCTTACCTTGGGGCAAGAACTCAAGAAGTCATCACTGAAACTAATGTAGGACTTGAGCAGGTTGGCCTTGACCCCACGGGCGGGCTCGATGGTCATCTTGGAGCCATTCTGGAGGATGGACACAGGGAAGTGGTTGCTCGGTAGACTGGTGAGCCAGAGGCGAAAGTCCTGATGCACCTGGAAATCCAGAAGGCAGCAAGTGCTCAGCAGGGGCAGGCACAGCCACTGCAGCTGCTCCTGCACCGACCCTCTGGTTTTACTGGGAGCCTGTGGATGGGATTGAACTGGATCCGAGCTCTTCCCGGGGCTCCAGCCTCCTGCCTGTTCTCCTCAGGGTGGGCAGGCTGCTGGGTAACACGGTGTGGGGCACCTCAGCTGGACTGAGGCCCTGGGAAGGAACGACTTTGACCTTGAAAGGACTCCAAACTACCCCTGAGAGAGCAAACAAGAACAGGGGGAGCTGCAAGATGAGCAAGCTTATCGACTGCAGTAAGAGAGCATAACAACTCTGAACCAATAAGAAGAGAGACACATCAGAAGAACTGATAACTTGGAACTAGTTTTAGGTGGATAGAGATACCAGAAAGCTTGGGAGCCTGAACTTTTGAACTTTTCATCTTACTACACTTGCGTGATGAGCTTATGTATATTGACTTCTCTGCCCTGGCAAGGGCCAGGGTTCATTTCCATGAACATGCGATGTATGAACACACACATGAAGGGGCGTGTCAGTGGGC